CAGGGCAAGCGCTTTATAGACTGAGCCATTCTGAAGCCCACTACGGTTCCTTTTGATGACCTCAAGTTCTTAAAGATCATTTCCTATGTTTTCTTCTAAAAACACATTATATTTTAGCTTATATTTAAATGCACACTCATTTCAAATTGGCCTTTATGTACGGTAGAAAATGAACGTAGATTTTCCCCTCCTAGCGTATGCAGTTGTTCCAGGAACATGTGTTCGAAGAATAAAGCCGCTTTGGCCCCTTTGCTGAAAGTCAGTTGTTTCTATAGACAAATGAGTCTATTTCTGTGTCTTTTTCTGTCCCATCACCTATGTGTTTATCTTCAGGTCCCTTCTGTGCAATTCTGATTATTGTGACTTTATGGAAAGTTCTCAAGTCGGTGGTGGTGGTGGGGTCTGAACCTTCAGCTTTTATGTCAGGGTCTCAGGGAGCTCAGGCTGGCCTTGAACTTGCTGTGTAGTCAAGGCTGTTCTTGAACTGACCCTGCCTCCACTTCCCAAGTGCTGATGACACTTCTGTGTTACCATGCCTGGCACTGGCTATATTTTTCAAACAATCTAACCAAAATTTGTTTTGTGCCTAGTTAAGGTCCTTTGTAACTCTTGATGAATTTTAGGTCCAAATTGCAGTTCTTTAAGGAAGAGGATTTGGGATTCTGATGGAATTATGTGGAATCTGTAGAGCAGCTGGGAGAAAATCAGCTTTGGAACAGTGTTCCCTGCTTCAAATAAGATGCACGGCTGCCCTTACAACTCCCTACATTTCTATCAGCAATGCCTTTTTTTCTTCGGTAAATCTCACAACTTTAGTGTTTATTCCAGAATAGTTTGTACTTTTTATGCCACTCTGATATTTAAAATCTTTGTTTCTTTCTTTTCTTTCCTTCCTCTCTCCCTCCCTCCCTTCTTTTTCCCTCCATTCCTACTCCCTTTCCTTCTTTTTTTTTGAGACAGGGTCTCACTGTGTAGCTCTGACTGGTCTAGAACTCACTGTGTAGTCCAGGCTGGCCTTGAACTCACAGAGATCCATCTGACTCTGCCTCCTGAGTGCTGGGATGAAAAGCATGCTCCATTGCACCCAGCTTTGGGTCAGTTTTCTTTCACTGTGAGAGAGTTTTAAGTTTCTTTAAAGATGTGAAGCTACTCATATCTGTTTCTTTTGATGCTCATTTGTGGTGTTAGCAGACTTCATGATATTTCCTTTTTTGTTATGTTTTTCATGACAGGGTTCCTCTGTGTAGCCTTGACTATCCTAGAACTCACAGAGATCTACCTGCCTCTACCCCCTGCCTCTATTCCCTGCTGGGAATAAAAGCGTGCACCATTATGCAGCAAATTCTGATATTTTCATTGTCATTTTATTGGAAACATATTTTTGTTTTTCACGTGAATCCTGGCTATTTTAAAGGAATTGAATAAATCTTATTTCTTGGCTATTAGTGGTGATACATACCTGTAATTCTAACCCCTGGGAGGCTGAATTAGGAGGGGTGTCAGTTTCAGGCCAATCTGGGGAATATGGCAAGACCCTGCCTCACCTGCCGCCCACTCCCACATTGCTGACTTCTGACACTTCCCTTCTGACTTAGCTTTTTTTCCTACATGCACTCTTCATATGGCCTTGTTATATACTGTCCTCACCTCTAACTTTCCTTGGACATATGTTTTTGTTTTATATGTATTTTTACCGACTCCCTGGGATGAATGTTAGGCTTTCTGGTTGCAAGTGCTCAATCTTGGGCTGATTTATAGATTTGCTAGTATTTTGTGTGTAGTTGGTATGAAATTAAGATATGTGTCAAAAAGCCATTAATGTGAATGATAAAGTTTGTGCATAATCCAAATTACTTATGATGTTTTAACCATTTTATTAAAAAATATTACTAGGGTTGGGATGTAGCTCAGTTGGCGGTGCTTCTTTAGGATGCACAGGCCGTGTTTGATCCTTCGTACTCTGTAAACCTGGTGTGATGGCTGTAATCCCAGCACTTGGGAGGTTGAGGCAGAGAGATCAGAAGCTGAGGGACATCCTTGGCTATGGTGTAAATCAGGTCAACTTGAGAATCAATGAGACCTGGACTCGAAAGAAAGAAAGAAAAGAAGAAAGAGGAAAAGCTGACACTTCACTACACAAAACAGTATATGCTAATAGCTGAGCGACATTAAACCCTCCAAGGCATTCTAAAGAGGGACAGAGGACAGTAAATTCTTCCAGGAAGATGCCATTAAGAGAAGTGGGATTTGAACAGGTTCTGAAGCAGAGGTAGGATTCAATCAAGGAGGAAGACATGCCCTTCTCACTAGGGGAATAGTAAGCAGAGAGGTCTTGGGGTAGCAATGTGCATCGTTCCTTCTGGAGGATGGCGTGAGAGGAGTGGATTTGTACAGAAGGCTCTGATTCTGAATCTGAGGATGGGGTCAGGGGTTTGGAATTCCCACTTCCAATGGCAGATAGTGATGCTCTCTTAGAAATTTCTTTTTTATTTTGTTTCCTATTTATTTACATTTATTTTTAATTTCTGTGCGTGCATGTGTGAGTGCGAGCAAATAACCTCTGAGCTATCCCTCCAGCCCCACTAGTTATATTTTTATTTTCTGCTCACCTTCCCTTCCCTTCACTTCTCCTTCTCTGTTCCTCCCCTTCTTCCCTCCCTCCTGACCTTTTTTCCTCTTGTCTTTGTGGATGTGTAGATGCCTGTGTGTATAGAGGCTAGAGGCCAGCCTCTGACAGTTCCCCTCAGGAGCTGTCCACCTTGTTTCTTGGGACACTCTCTCACTGGGACAGCCTCGTGCTGGAGCTTGCTGAGCAGATGAAGCTTGCTAACCAGAAAGTTCCAGGGATCTGCTCATCCTTACCTTGCCAGTGACAAGCACGTACTGCGACCCCTAACTTTCAAGTGGGTGCCTGGACCAAACTCAGTTCTTCACACTTCTGTGTGAAGCAGGCATTTGCCTGCTGAGCTCTCTCCAGGCTCTCTCCCTTGGTGCTGTGTGACTGACTTGGCCTATCTTGGGTTGGTGTGCACTGCTCTGTTTTGCTTCACCCTCCCATTCTCTGTCTGCCGTTCACTTGGGTACTCCTGCTCTCTGACCAGCACAGGCCAGTCTTCTGCCGCTTTGGAGCTGGCGCCAGGTGCTTTGCTTTTTCTGGGAAACTCTTTTCTTAGTTCTCATTTGCGTCTCTTTCTTCACTGGTTTAGAGTGACAGACACCCGTTTGTTTTTGAGGCTTGCAGCTGGGAGGTCTGTGTTTTCGGGAAACTGTTCTAGCTTCCTTGCCCCACCAGGCCTAAACTATCTGTGCCCTTAATTAAGAAAAGGGAAACCACCTCCCAGATGTCACAGTACAGAGAAGTCTAGCATTCTTGATGGGTAGGAATGGAGACGTCTGTCTACAAAATGACTTTGACAATGAGTCTATATTCCTCTGTTCACGTCCCCAGGGGGCTATGTTTTGTTGTCCTGTCCTTATGTAATTGGATGAGAGACATCTCACCCTGCACACTTCTGCGTAGGGTCTGTGAGGTACATAACATTAAGGGAGATTTTTTTCTGTGATGGGTGTAGGGGTGGTGACAGTGTTGAATAAAACTCAAGGCGCATTCAATAGAGTCGGGACAGAAATTTGTGTGTGAGCAATACAGAGTGCCTAATTCAGAGAACTCAGAAGAAGGAGTTGGGCTACCCAGAAAACCTGAGAGTCGAGAGGCTGGCTTTGGATTTTGTAAAGGATAAGGTAAATACTGTGTTGAAGAGGGCGTTGTGAAGTTGCTAATTAAAAATTGAATATTCTTTTCCCCAAACTAGGGCCAGGAACTATGTGCAGCAATGCTGACCTTCTTCCACTCTCTGGCTTTCCTTCTCACTTGCTTTGTGCTTTTCTTTTGTGGATATTCCAGTCCTTCGAGAGGGCGTCCTGGCTGTGGGAGGAGATGTCAGGGTCTTTGGTTTAAGGCAGGTTTAAGAACAAACTGACTGTTGTTTAGCTCCTGATTAAAATGGACCTGTAGCTTGAGGCAATCTCTCTCTCTCTCTCTCTCTCTCTCTCTCTCTCTCTCTCTCTCTCT